GAGAAAAACTAATCAAACTGAATATGTGTTACTTCATTAACTGATGTGTTACAATCAAAAGCCCTTTTATACAATGAGCTTACAAGAACAGTTTACAGTGAGAAAAGAACTGATGAAGACTGAAGAGAGTAACACGATTCAGCTGAAGAAGAAGAGTGAGCATTACTAAAACGACAACATTTCAGTAATACTAAGAAAACCCACTCTTCTGACAGTTGGCAGTTTGTCCTTTTTATTCTAACACATCAACATGCACTCCTCATACCATATATTGCAGGATTTGCGTATATAGTTCTTGATTTACTGAAGTTGGCCTAAATAATGTATAGAAAAGAAAAAGAAAAATGGTATCATGGACATGGTTTGCACATCTAAAGTTGGGAGTGTCAGCCCCACATAATCAACTAGTCCCCATTTTACAGATTGTCCCAGGTTCCTATAAAGAGATCGGGATGAGTAATGTCAGTTGCATCTGATATATTTAAGTTTCGTAGTTCCTTGGAGGGCTCTCTAGTCGAGGGATAAAGGCAAAGGAGATCACCATGTCCAGGAATATAAATTGGAAATCTTTTCATTTTGAATTGTTACATATTCTCCATTAATTGTTTACATCACGACAATTATCATCTTAAAGACCATCAACCATAACATTTAGCTACCATTTTCCATCAATTTCTTGATAGCAAAATCTACCTTTTCCCTTGGAAGCCAGAATATAATTCTCATTATTCTTCACGCCCTATCTCGTCACATCACTTTGAAACCAGAATTATTGATAGCTTCACTGATTTTTTTTTCTCTCTCTCTCTTAAGAACCTTGCAAAACAGGGGGAAAAAGTTCAAAAGAAAGAGAGAAAACATGACACCTAGAAAGGAGGGGGATGGGACATTTTAAGCCATACGCCTCAAAGAAATCTCTATCACAGGATTAACTATATTAAAAGGATGTTAAAGTTAAGCAAAATGCATGATCCTAAAGTTACAAGCTAAGCAAAGAGCCAACATGTATCAACTAAATCAGTAATTAGGAATAGCCCATCGCTGGTGATGGAGAATACAGATAATTTGAGAGGGAGAAGAATCCCACCAATGCACTGAAACACATTCACACTAGTAACCCCCTGAGGTGGAAGGCCATCAGCCTCAACCTCGTTCCAAGTCCGTTATTTCTTGATAGCACAAAACAGGGTTTCTATAATCACCCTTCAATAAAATTCCCAAACTTCTATTCTCTTGTTCGAAAAACATAATGATAAACACAAGGTTCCCACCATTAAGTGATTTTCTGATATCCAAATTCTAGTCCAAGAATCCATCATCCTATATTTTCATAACCCAAATTTCATAATCTTTTCCACTCTCTATATTCATTAGGCAGCAAAAACACGCCATCCTAATCATCAATGCCTTGAATGCTATAAATCGAAAAGAACTAGGAGAGAAAAGGTTTTGAACTTCTCTTCGACCAAATCAAATGAAACAATTTCTCGAGAGACTGGAATCAACCAGTGGATAGCGCAATTGAGAAAAGTCCTGTATTCGAAAAAAGATTTGGGAAATCACATGCCAGTCAATTCTTTTCCATGAATTTTTCTACGAATTTTGGGTAAAAGGGTCTAGGAGGTACTGGCCTTCGAAGTCCAGTATGCTCTTTCTTTGTTTCTGATTGTTCTTTTGTTCTGGATATCCTTTTACTGATTCTGAATATATATGCATATTGTCTTTTTCTTCAGTTATTTGATTGGTTGGCTTATTACTTGTTATTGCTGTGGTGGAATTATTGTGTATTTTTAGAGTTGCGGCTGTTCTATTGGTTGAGTTCTGTGTTGAGCGTGAAAAGGGAGTTTTGAGGTCAGAGGTACTCATCAGAAGATGAAATAAGAAAGGGTGAACAAGAAGCGATACCAATAGAATGATGCGAGAGTACAGAGCAAAGTTAGATGAGAAAGACACGCAAGCTGGCCCATGGAAGGAACCACTCTAGCAGTAAATGTAGTCATAAAAAGGGTATGCATACAAGATCTTGGAAAAGGAACATCTTATCTCAATCTTTATGATTACCCAGCATATTTTCCTGGCTCTCTAATGGTGTTATGTGTTGTTGTAGATAGGAAAATCTACGTGGATAAAGAGACTGGAAAAGAAGGGTGATGCTCTTGTAACATATCTTAAGGAACCATCATTGCTTTGGATTCATTTTGGAAGGAGTTCCTTTTCGTCCAGGTGGAAAGATCCCTATCAGTCACCCAAGCTAAGTTTGAGCATAAAGGGATAGCTTTGTATCCAAGCAATATAGACAACAAGAAGAAAAAGAGGCTGAAGGTTGAAGGTTGAAGAGAAGTGTTTGGCTGGTGGCCTTGATGTGCAAGTGACAATTCTGGCTACTGTAGTCCTCGTTATACTTAAATTTACGTTCAGAATTGAAGCAGATGTTCAAGAGGAATGTGTTGGTCCAGTGGACCAGTCAAGTTGCGAGAATCTGATGATTACCACTCCAAAAACTACCACTCACACAACAACCGCAACTCACACAATCACCAGTTAACCAATCCACAACCAAAAATAATCAGCAATTCAATGAACAGTGAAAGAAATAGAAAATAGGTCATATGAACAGAATAGAAATTTCCTAGAATATTCAAGAACAACTGATCTTCGAGCGTTAGCACCTCCCAAAACCATTCTCTCTCAATTCAAGATATCCCCTCACTCCTCTCACGTCCCTCTTTATTCCTGACACTCCAGATTCTAACTACTCACACTCCTCATGCCTCATCCGCATATCAACTCGCATTTACCCTTTCTACCCTCCCCTAGTTCTTCGTTTATACCACTTAGCTACCCTGGGCCATCAGAATCACCCACAGGTGTTGTTTTGGTCAAATTTAGGATAGAAATGATGCTTAAAAGTGCATAGACTTGATGAATGGACAATGGTTTGGTGGCAGATAAATACATGCCAGTTGCTTATACACCATTATTATAAGCTATTAACCCTTCATCATCACCTTAAAATATAAGACAAGACTTAATTTGAAGAAACTTACCTAAAGAAAAACTCCAAACGCTTGTGAAATTGGCAACTAAGCCCTTGAGCAGACCAACGAACCAGCTTTGCTATAACTGTACACACCAAAGAACAGGCTCACTTCTTTCACTGATTTGAGCCCAAGCTAAAAATTACTTATAGGAATATATATGCTTTCATTAAAATGGCTATGGATTTTCATTTCATAAGATATTCATATCGAATACACCCACCACATTAGAAGTACACAATTACAAATTTTTTCTTTCAGGCATTTAATCAAATACCTCACATGGGCTCATCTCTCAAATGCAAACCCTCTTTCAATCATTTCATCAAACATCAAGGCAACAATATCGGTAGTTACATAATTTCAGCCAACAGTTCTTTCCGGGTTGACCCTATTAACAAATCCACAGAACAATAAGAACAGACTAAGGACCACAACCTGACAAGAATTCTTCTCAAATTACATTTCAAAGAAGTAAACCATGCTGAAATTGGGTGAGATAAGGCTCTCCACAACACATCCGAAGAATAAATAACCCTTGAGGGAATGCCAATTTTAAATCCTGACAAGTACCAATTCCTCAGAGTGATTACCAATTTCTTTTGATCCAAAAGCAGCACATCTTCCCACCGTCCTTCTTGAGGTACATAATGGCTGCATATAATTGAATGGAATGGCTATCGAAATTTTATCCAAGATTCTTCCCCTCCATATTTCTTCATAACCCAAAAATTGTAAGGTTTTGATCCATATAACACAAGCATCTCCCAAATCAAGCGAATAATCGAACTTATTATTGAAAACTTCAGGAACCCAAAGGTTTTGAACTTCTCTTCCTCCAATCGAACGCAGCAATGGAGAATATAGTTTGCAACAACCAATGTACTGCTCCATTTACACTTCCCTGTGCATTTCGGCCTGTTCAATGGGCTGTTCGAGGATGGATGTTTCAAAATGGACCAGCACAGGGGCTGAGATGTGGTTCTTTGGCCTGTCTTGTTTGTTCTCTGGCGGGCTTTGAAGATGGACCGTCATGGGCTCTTCGTGTTGTACTGCTTTAAAGTTTTCTGGTGGGCTTATGGTAATTTCGTTATTTCTTCTCATTCTTTTGTTGTAATAATAACAATAATAATTATTTATATTGAATTACTTGAAATTTACTGTATATAATTTGACAAACATCAATAATTGCTTGACATTTGGATTTATAATTCAAGAATGTAATTAACTTAAAGTGAATAAATAAAATCAATTAAATAGACTCTTTGATCTTTTTGAAAACGTATAAAAAGTTTGTCATTAGAATTATTAGCACATATTGGATCCTTGTCTTTGTTTAATTATTTGATTCTTCTTCTTTTTCTCTTCCTTCTTCTCTCAAATTCTCTTTCTCAAATTCTCTTACCAAATCTTTCAAACTCTAAGTAATTTTATTTATATTTACCAGCATCTTAATACCATTTTCTTCGATTAAATTGAACAATCTCTACTTTACCATACTTAAAAAAGCTTAAAAAACGTTATATCATTAAATAAATTTTTTGACCAATAGATAAGTCTACCTTCTTATTGACCCCCATTATTTAAATCATATCTAAAATCCGGTATTTTCTAGCTTTCCCATTAAATACGCTTCCTATTTCTTTGGTAGTCATGGCTTAGCATTTCTCCATTCAATTTAATATGATCGACATCTCTTTCTTAAAAATTAATTCATTTAAAGAAAAAATACATATAATTAATTAGTACATATTATAGCCTTGGGTTTAGCCAAAATTTGAGATCTCTCATCTTCAAAAGTTCAATCTATTTCAATTTCAATCTCTAAACTTCTTTCTCGCAGAAACATTACAATCCCTATATTTCCTCTCAATTTTGATGGGATTTCGACCGTAACAGCTTAATTCTTAAATTTTCCTTCGTTTTCTATCTGGTTTCCAACTTTCCCACAAATTTTCTTGCACTTCGTCACCTGGTCTCTCTCAGAATGGGAAAAAACCAAGCTACAAGGCCATGCAGCGAGCTCGCCTCGGCCCCAGCTCAGCTGCGCCGGAAGAGATCGAGGACGGCATGGTTTGTACCCTTTCATACTACTCTTTCATACCCAATTTTTTTTTAATTGTTAATTATTGTTATTATTTATTGATTTTTTGTTGCTTCTGCTTAGTGTTATTACTTTCATTATTATTTTTAATTTATTCTATCAAAAATTGCCACTTGATGAACTTTCAAAAGGGTTTTTGGATCGTGTATAGAATTGATAATCCTTCAGTAGTTTTTTTTTATTGTTTTGTTAATTTGTAACTATCATGTGCTGTTAAGTAAAAATTGCCAAATTGATGAGCTTTTAGAAGGTATTTGGAATTATTTGTTGCTTCTACTTAGTGTTGTTAGTTTATTTTATTCTTATTAATAGTATTATATGCTTCTCAGTGATATATTGTTATATTGACAAAACTATTAAAAGTGTTGAGATTGTGTAAATAATTATAGACTTTTAAAAGGAATCATGGTACTGTTGTTTGGATTATGGGTAACATTCGACATGATTTTTAACATCTTTTGTGAAATTAGTGAGGAAGTATGAATTGTATGTAATGCTGATTCAGTTTTGTATTTTAGTAATATACAACCCGTGACGGTAATGTTTTAGATCTATTGTAATTTGCTTCTTAGGTTTGTTCAAATAGGGAAAAAAAAAAAAAAGAGAAGAACTTATGCTTATTAAAGGGAACTCATGTTTTGAGAGATTTTACGCCTTTTATTATGTTTTTAATTTTTCGATTTATGTTGACAGTGAATTTGACCCCTTTTTTGAAAATTGAATGACAAACAATCTGTCAGCGATGAGAATTTATATAGGTTGATAGGTTTTAACACATTAACTAAATAATTAGTTGTGATACATTGTTTGTGCGGATGTGAATCTTAAATCATCTTCTAGAGATATGCATGTACAGGTTTCTTGACATGCATTTAGAAAATTTTATTCAATTCTGTAACTGTACTATGGATGTTATCTTTTCCTGGAATATTTCTGATAGGGCCCTCGCAGGTGGATGGGTCTTTTCATTCACCATGGTGGCGTGCGGCTCCTTTGGCCAGCCTTAAAACTCTCATACAATTACCTGGGAAGAATTCTAAAAGAAGCAAAAGGTGAGCTGTCGCCATAGCTATAATTGTTCTTCTCATTCAATGTAACTCAAATTTGGCAGAAACTTGCAATTTTAACCATGCACAGCTATAATAGTGTGTAAAGTTTAATGTAATTATCTGTCTCTACTGAGAGGCAAGCCAGTATTAATAATAGTGAAAGTTTTTTAGATTAAAGAATAACAATGGAGCTTATGTTCGTCTTTGCAACCCTGACTTCAGCTTAGTAGAGTACTTGCAAACAGCATTAATTGAAAGAAATCTCAAAATGTTTGCTTGTGCTTCTACTATGTGATAGGAAAATATAATGGACTTTTTCTATTTCTGCACTTCTGGGTTGGAAGTTATACCAAGGGAAAAGATTGTGTTTCATTTCCTGAATATGATAAACTGGGCTATGGTATGTGACCTGTTAGAGACAAATAAAATAAAGTTATATTCAATCTTAATAATATATTCACCCAAAGTTTGTCGCTTCAATGGCCCTATCTGATTCTTTTATGTCTGTTAACATTGTTTCCTTCATATATTCATGTTTAATTACAACATTTTCTTATGCGTTCCTTTTGAATATGTGCAAGTTACTGGTTTTGGTGCTTGCATTAACTTTTGCAAATTTACGAAATTACATGTTTGTCACTATATTGTACTTGATGTTTTAGGAAGATGAATAAGAAAGGGTGAACTAGAAGCAGATACCAATAAAATGATGTGAGAGTACAGAGCTCTTTAGATGCTGAAAGGGCACACAAGCTGGCCTATGAAGGAACAACTCTAGCAGTTAAATCTAGTCATAAAAAGGGTATGCGTACAAGACCTTGGAAAAGGAACAGCTTAAATCTAGTCATAAAAAGGGTATGCGTACAAGACCTTGGAAAAGGAACCTTATCTCATTCTTTTGATTACACACCATATTTCCCTGGCTCTCTAATGGTGATATGTGTCTTGTAGATGGGAAAATCTATGGATAAGACTGGGAGAAAAATGGGTGATGTTCTTGTAACATATCTCAGGAACCATAGTTGCTTTGGCTATTCATTTGGAAGAGTCCTTTTGTCCAGGTGGAAAGATCCCTATGCAGTCACCCAGCTAAGTTTGAGCAGAAAGGGATAGCTTTGTATCCGAGCAAGTAGGCAACAAGAAGAAAAAGAAGCTGAAGGTTAGAGAAGAGTGTTCGCTGGGGTGGCCTGATGATGCAAAGGTGACAGTTCTGGCTGCTCTAGTTCTTCGTTATATGTTCTCCCTTGCAGAATGAGGGCTGATGAAAATTTACGTTCAGAATTGAGGCATGTTGAAGAGGAATGTGTAGGTTGGTCCAGTGGACCAGTCACCAAAACAAGAATAATGACACCGGAATTTGAGCCCAAAAACAAGGATGCACAAAATGCATAGAATGATGAATGGACAATGGTTTGATGGTAGACAAATACATGCCAATTGCTATAACCCATTATTATAAGCTATAACCCTTCACCATCACTACCATATTTGGAAATCCTTAAAATAATAAAAAAAGACTATTTTGAAAGCTGAGCTACAATTAAATATATGACCAATTAATTCAGTCACTGGAATCATCTTCACACAACCAGCAAACATACACAACCCGGAAGATGATCAAAAATAGATATTTGTATTGATGTTAAACGACAACTTCATCAGCTCAATCAACAGAACAAACGAAAATAAAAGATGAACTAGACATGATAAAGATAAACGTGCCTGCTGCACTTCGAGGGCCAACAACTCCATTTTGCCCCACAGTCCATTGTCTCCTCTTTTATTCTATTCCCCGTAACAAATTCTCTAATCATCTTCTACCCTTAACACCCACACACAAGAACCTTCCTGCCTACTGCCCAAAAATCCCCTACTTCACACCTTAATCTCTTATAATGACCAGCGTATTTCATCACTATCAGTAACACAAGGCAATAGTTCACAAACTTCAAGTTCACTTCTGTTCATTATTCCTTGTTTGTCTCATTTCCTCAATTTCTGAGAAGATTCGATCTGGGCACTGTCTTTCATCCAACACAAAATAACATTATACATCTTCAATCCAGCAACTTATAAAATGTCTGGGATTTATTAAAATATAGAATTAGAGATTTATACATTCTACATCAATCTGGCATAGAACATTAAAATTAGAAAAAATAAGATAGAATTGGTCAGAAATAGATATGGACTTACCATATATCGCAAAACGGCACTGTATAAGATGTATGGCTTATGAAGATTCTGAAGCTGAAGGATTATAATTCTTTTAATCTTTTAGACAGTGGTTCATCTTCATCATCAGAATACTCTTCTATTTCTTTCTCATTTACCTCATACCTTTTTCACATCAAATTTATATGAGAATGAAAAAACATATAATTAAGTATAAATTGTAAAAGTTAATGAGAGTTCAAGAGCAATATTCTTTGAGATCATTAAAACCAGACATTAAAGATTTACCTTGAGCTCGATTCGCCTATGAAATTTGGAGATGTTATTATCTTGGAGATTGGTTCGTCTCCTGACCCAACACAGTCAACATCCACCTTTGATCCGATAAAAGCTTCATCCAACTCATATGACTTCCCAAACTAGAGCTACTGGATTTGTTGGCCCTTGGCTCATCTTTAAGTTCTTTCTCGTATACTGGTGGATCCCACACCTCTTCACCACCATGCTCGGTATATGATTTAAATGAAAGCTGAACAAAATCTTGAAAGCGACTTTGAGGAAAATATAGTAGACAAAGATGGTCTGACAACTTTCTTGCTCTTGCCCCGATACTTGTCAAACCAATATGAATAGTTCACACTATTGTCATTGATCTTACGGCAGCAAAGCTACCTATCCACTTCTTCATCCTCATCTTCACTCTGATGCTCATGCAAAACGAAAACACAGCAGACAGCACATCCCACGTCTTGTTATCATAAGAATCGGGAGGCTTTTCTATTTATTGAAGAAGCCTCACTCTTATGTTGGAACCACTCTGGAATTTCACTTCCAGGAAAAACCATGGTAATTTCATCCATACACTCGGCCGGACGAGATACGTTGCCTGCACTCAAAAAAAGAAGAAAAATCATACAATAATGTTACTCAAAAGATGAAGAGAGAAAAGAGAAATACACTGACCTTAATGGATTCTCTGTGCATTGAAGATGCTAGATTGTTTGCGCGGTTCAATTTCAAGCTAGTTTTCCATGAAAACATACCAGCTTGGATTGCATAACCTAATGCATTTGATGTTTTTTCCAGTGCAACACAACCATCTACGATAACATATTTTATTTTGGACGGAAGTTTTGGTAAGATCGAAGTCTCTTGCAACGGCTCAAGTCAAGAAACACAACTCGGAAAGATGATTGATGCTCCAGTAGTGAAACAAAATTGTTTTGCTTAGGTTTAACTCCCTAATGAAGAAAAGCGACCGAAAAGTCATTAGGAATCGCTTCTTCCTCATATTGCAGTCACTCAGGATCAATCTTTCTAAGAGATGCAATCTGACAAGTGGGCAATCTAAAAGTCTTGAAGAAGTCTGAGGACGAAGATTTTGATGGCGGTCCTCTGCACCACAAAATCTAACTCTGTAAGTTCTTCATAAGAAAAAGGACGCCATTGGCAAGTTATCAACTTTGGAGCATCCAGAAAGACTAAATCGTTCAGTCCACTCAAACCATTTATAGTGACTGGAAGACTCACAAGATTTTCGCAGTGATCCAACGAAAATTCTTTAAGTCCCTCAACGTTCAATTGACTTTGGCAGTACTTTAATAGCGTGTATGTATAAGAAAGGCAACTTAGACAATCCATACTTCCTACATATCTGGAAACTTCTCCAATTTCCAGCAACTAGATAGATCGGAGTTCACATGAGATTCCATATGAATCCGGTCTGGAAGACTTGTAGACTTACACAACTATTCTCTTCAACAAAGTAATCTTTTTGTGAACCAACAAGATGGTGAACCTCACGCAACATGTAACATGCAAAAAGATGCACTTCCTTGAGATTTGGACTGATATTAAATCTGGTATTTTGATTAAGTACTACAGAAATTAAAACTGATGGAATTCAAATTGTTGAAAGCCTTAAAAGAAAAGAAGTTAGACAAAGATGTACTTTTCTTAATTTTCCATATTATTAAACAATAAAAAAACATAAAAATATTCCATAAAAAAAATAGGAAAGTTTAATTGAATTAATCTTACTTTGATTCCCTGCGGCATTTGTTCAATGCGACTTTCATCCATTTCTCACACAACAATTTTGTCCAATTTCAAATTTGGGTAAGTTGTTTAAAAGGGTATCCTCTCCAATCAAGTAACGTAAGTTGTTGGAAATGTAATCAAGGTCTTCTGAAAGTTGACTTACAGACTGGAGTACTCTTGATTGGTCATTTTCAAAAATGGTTGAGCACAACATAGATCTCTTCTGTAGGAAGTTGAGCTCATGCCTTCCCATATAGTTCCCTTTAAATAATAGGAAAAAAAAAAAAAAACAAGAAGAGAAAGCAGTCAAGATAATAGCACATCTAGTTGAACTATATAGATATGAATGCTAGCTACTTCAATAATACGTGTAATTTTCAGTCCCCTTGAACAATACAGACGAAGTTTTCCTTTATTTATATAGGTCTGCCATTAACATTTAACATAAAACTTAATTGGGTTGCACAAAATTCTACAAGTACACACACAATCTTATAAAAATAGTTCTTCAATTCACACTCACTTATGCTTACCAACAATTTTTATTAACGAATTATATTTTGAAATTTCACAAATTTTCATGATATTTAGTAAAAATGATTTTTTATAAAGAAAAGTTGAAAAAGGAACTTTGGAATTCTATTTGAAAAAAAAAAAATATTTTCTAATTTTTACAAGTAAAACTTATAACTCTTTTAAACTTTCAAAAATTTTTAATTTAATTTTTAAAATTGATATTATGGTTTTCTATAATTTTTAATTCATTATAATTCATGAATCTATAGAAT